ATATATATATATATATAGATATAGATATATATATATGTAAGCCCAAGGGCTAATATATTCAAAAGGAAAGGTACAGATAGATTGTATGAGATGGTTTAAAAGAAGGCGCAACTCACACAATACAACGCACACAAAAATCCAAAGAAGCAAAAATACATAAAGATAAAAAAACAAAAAATCCACCAACAGACGCAAAGGTGCTAGGGACGTCCCACTTTAGTTTTCCTCTGCCTTTAGTTCGCGGAAGAGAGCCAGCTAACAAATTGGTAAGGTGTGTACCATTACCCGAAGTAACAAAAGTATCATCCATCAGATTTCTGATCTCAAGTATGTCTCCATTCTTCTTCTTCCTCCTGCATGTGTAGACCTGTCATTCCTCATCCGAGAATTGACTCAATTGATCAGTGGATTGGTCCAAAGGTGTCCGGACAGGTGTAAGACGTTGCACATCTTGATCTCCCTGAGTCTGAGTAGTATTGACATCTTTCTAGACCTGATGAGGCAGTAGTGAAGCAGCAGAGGTATTTTCACCTGTAATATCAGTGATAGTTTCTAGGGCAGGCGGAGTCTGAAGAATCTCCCTTGCCTCTACAACTCCATGATAGGAGGTTCTGAAGACGGGGGAGCTACAACAATGTGTGAAGACTGAATGATTGATATATTGCTTGCAGGAATAGTACCGTCTTCATATTGATATATCGACCCATGTCGAACCCTAGAAACCCTTACCTTACCGCAAGATCATTTCTCCGGCGTCGTCGTCTCTCCTCTCGCGTCTCTGTTCGAAGCCGGCGCTCGCGTCTCGTTGCCTCTCCGACAGAGTTCGCATCTCGTCGTTTTGTTCGATTACATCTCACGGAAGACAGGAAGGGTCGCCTCGTTTCCTCATTTCGTCATCCTTCCTGACTCAGCTCGACAGCTCAATTGCACCGAGTTTTGGTCTCTTCGGTTCCTGACCTGCCCTCTGACCGACTTGGCAGACTTGGCTTCTAAGCAGGGCTTCTAAGCTGTGATGGAGCTTCCTTCTTCAGTTGAACCTGGCAAAGCCTCCTTTGCCCGCGTAGTGGGTAATCCTCAAGTAGAAACGACGGTTGTCTTCCCCTCAAGTTATAAGGAATATCATGATGGTACAGGTGATTGCCCATTTATTAAGAATGTAAGCAGGAAAAGTGGAAAAACAACACTCTGCAGCACTCATTTTCTCGGAGTTAGAAATTTCAACCCTGACTAACAAATTCAAGTTTACTCTTATTGAAAAATTTCAGTGGGGGCACCCACCTATGGAAGTTATTAGAAAAAATTTTGATGATCTCAAATTAGCAGGAAAGTGGAAAGTGGGGCTCATGGATGGGAGACATGTATTGACCAATTAACCAAGGCTAAAGAGTACACTCAGATTTTCTCCAAAAAGTGTCTTAGCATTGCTGGTAAATCAATGAAACTACTCAAGTGGTCTCCTGATTTGACCCTAATCATGAACCTCCTATTGTACTGGTATGGTTCAGTCTACCAGGTCTCAAGCTGCATTTTTTTTCATCATCAGGTTTTTTACTCTATTGGGGTCATACTTGGGAACCCTATGAAGCTAGATCTACTGATTTTCAACCTAACCAGACCATCTGTGGCCAGAATACTTGTGGAAAGAGATATTACTTTATCTGTCGTTATTGAAGTCTGGTTGGACACAACTCATAATGGATATTGGCAACAAATCGTCATAGAGAATAGACCGTCTTATTGTTCTCATTGTAAGATGTTTGGGCATAGGGCATACAAATGTCATAAATTTTTGATAAATGTCATAAGCTTTATCCTGATTTGAAATCTAAAGATCAAGTAAATAAGGATGGATATAATCCCACTACTCTGGACATATCAGTTCCATCTGGAAAGAAAGCTACCACAGGACAGGTTTTGGATATCGCTAAAGATCAACCACCTATCATTCACCTACAATCCTTGTTGAGAAGGTGCAAAACCCAACATCGCAGTTTCTGATGAAGAACATCGTACTACAGGTACAGATTCAAAAGTGTTTATACCACTCACTATTATTGAAGAAGACTCACTTACATGTTAAGACACAAGAGAGTGCTTTGATTCAATCAAAGATCAGCTGGTACAACAAACAGTTACTTCTGATGTTCAACATCTTACACATGTCTGACACACTTTAGACATATCCACTGATCAGGCAAGCCAATCTTCGGATGAAGAATGGTAGGTGTATTCCAGGAGGAAAAAGAAGACCGGAGGCCGACTTGAGCTTGAAAACTTATTGGATGATACTTTGATCACTATTGCCAATGACACTCATTTTACCAATTTATTATCTAACTCCTTTCCTTGAACTAGAGGTAGAGGCAAAGGAAAATTGGGTCGCTCTCTAGCTAGCTGATACTATGTTTTTTTTATTTTCTTTTTTTTTTATTTCGATATCTTGTATTTTTCTGTATTTTCTTCTTTTTTGGAATCTTTTGTATGTGATGGTTATCATGGAGGACGGGTGTCATGCTTGGCCCCTTCCACACAATCTTTATGTATTTTTATTTCCTTTTAATATATTAGCCTTTGTGTTTTCTCATTATAT